CTATTATTATTTAAATCCTTTGCGAACAATCTCTTTTCTCCTCCCCTTCTCTTGTCTTGTTCTGTCATTCTTTCCAAACGATTTATTAATGGACGAATCTTTCCTACGGATTTTCCTTTGATTTTCAATTACGCTTCATTCGAATTTTTGCGATCGATAAAAAGAGAGAGAGAAAAGGATAATTCGAGCGATTTAGAGTAGTTTGTTCCTCGATTTCATCGAAATTATGAATTTTTCATTTCATTCGACGAGATTATTTTTCTTTAATTGGTAATGAAAATCTTGGAAAATAAGTTCTAGATACACTAGTGGCTTTTGAAAGCCGCGATTCGAGAAGAGATCGACAATTTTTCACCCGATTTCACAGAAGAAAAATTACTTAACCCTTTGCGAACAACACGTATAAAACTTTTATATTTTATCTTATTTTACGCATAAAGAAAGAAAATTTTGTTAAACTCTATATCTATCCTCTTAACTCTTGTTAACAGAATATATTTGCTTCGCTATTTTCCTTCTCTCTCAATTCCCTTACGAATAAAAGTAATTTCGTAAATTCGATGACGAAAAGTCAAAATCATCTCTCGCTCGAACTAATCATTACAGTTCTACGCTTACAAAACTCAAAAACTTATAAGCCGTCGAACCAATATCAAAAGATCCGCGATATAATCTATATCGTTGCATTATTCTTCACAAGATTATTCTAGAAAGATCAATCCAAATAAATAAACATCGTTCGAATCCAAGTAACAGCCAAGAGTCTTAAACAAAGAGTAATTAATAATTTGTTCTCCTGAAAATTTACTCGTTAAAAAAAAAAAGAAAGAGAGAAACAAAAATCTTATCCAAAACATATATATATATATTTACTCACCGAGCATTCTATCCCGCGACACCTCGGCCCTGGCTACGCCGAAGGCGGGATCTGTGTCCGCGTGATAACGATCGATCGTTAATTCCCAATAATGAACGCCCCGTGAAAATCCAACGCTGGAAAGGACAACTCGGTGCTCGTAACCTTCGCAGGACGCGCTCATCGCGTCCTCGGAAATTGATACCTCCTGCGGTATACCGGATGCCCCGGTCGCCCACGAGAACCATGCCACTGTCGAACAAAGCGATGGGTATCCCCCGATAAATAATCGACCGATCGATTCTTGCTTGCTTGCGGCGGCTCCGTTTCTAGCCGGCTATTGTTCTCGGATGACGGCCGACGAAATCGAGTGGATAAACCCGAGCGTGGAGGCCGTGATTCCATATATATCGGAAACTAAACGCCGCGAAATCGAAACCGGAAACACGCCATCCACTGCCTGCGTATCGTTACCTGTATCGTAACGCGAATTCCGCAACCGTTCTTTTTATAAGTTACAAGGATGTTGACGGGACACGTTTCCTCAAATTGTCGACATCGAATCTCTAATTTTATCTCTAGAGATTTATTGGTATGGATCGATGAATCATGGATCATGGCTATTATATATTGTATCGTAAAGTTTCTTTACACGTTATAAGGATATAACGAGACGCGTTTCCCCAAATTGTCGGCTTTTGAATCATGAATTCTAATTTTATTCTCGCGATTCATTGCTAGAGATCGATGAATAGATCGATTATATATTGTATCGTAACGTTTTTCTCCGTGTTATAGAAATATAATGAAATGCATTTTCTCAAATTATCGGTTCTAAAACTAATATTCTCGCGATTCATTGCTACAGATCGATGAATAGATCGATTATATATCGTATATATATTTTTCTTCAAGTTATAAGAATATAATGAGATGTGTTTCCTCACATTTCTGGTTTCGAATTTAATATTATTCTCGCGGTTCATTTCTAAAGATGAATAAATCTATATATTGTATCGTAACGTTTTTCTCCGTGTTATAGAAATATAATGAAATGCATTTTCTCAAATTATCGGTTCTAAAACTAATATTCTCGCGATTCATTGCTACAGATCGATGAATAGATCGATTATATATCGTATATATATTTTTCTTCAAGTTATAAGAATATAATGAGATGTGTTTCCTCACATTTCTGGTTTCGAATTTAATATTATTCTCGCGGTTCATTTCTAAAGATGAATAAATCTATATATTGTATCGTAACGTTTTTTTTTATGTTATAAAAATATAATGAGATACATTTCCAAATTATTGATTCCAAATCTAATATTCTC